TATAAATTATTAAGAATAACTCGAAAACTATTGGTCAGACCTTGATCAAATTTATATTTGACAACATGTGAAACACCATCTTTCAAATAAAAAAGATTCATCGAAATCGGTTCACCCAGTAAAAAGTTATGAGGACTTTATGTTTTTTTTATATAACACACATAAAAAAAACATACAGTCGAATTGAGTGCCTCCTTTTTGAAGTCGGTAGAAACAGACCTTATCAAGGTCGGGGCGTGTTTGATTTACAGAATGCAGTTTTATCCAATGCCCCAACATTGGTTAGTCCCGTCTATCCGCTAGAACTAGAACACTCAGGGTAATGTTGGAATCTAATTTATTTCCCTGGCTTTGCATGGGTGGGATCTATCAATGTGGCGTTATTAAGACTTAAGATTTAAAAAAAAAACACTTAAATTTGTAATCAATTTTTGGTTTCTTTTCAAAAAGAAATCTCAAAAGATTTTCGGATAAAATATAGCCTTCATCACTCCTGGTATTGTTGTCTATCTGTTCATAAAGTTTTATTACAATCGGTTTTGCCGTTTCGAGAATACGGACAAAAGGACAGACAGACAGACAAATTTTTTAAAATGTGTATTAATGTCTTAATGTTATGCGAATTATCCCCTCAGCTTAAAACAAAGCAGCAATTTTAATATTACAGACAGACACTCAATTTTAGTTATGTGTATGAATAATTAAAACTTGTTTTCTCAACTGTACCGTTAAATCATATTATTTCCTTTTACATAACACCATGAGATATACGGTTAATAGCTTCATTAAAGTCATAATACGACCATAAATTTTAACTAGAACAAATTAGTGGGCGACCTCAAGTTACTAACTAGAAAGTTGTCGTATAACAAGGCGTTAAATGCAACTAATGTGGGCAAATTTTAAAATTACCTTGTAACATCGACTATAATTTCACAGCGCGCTAGCAACCCGGGTTCGATCACCGCCAGGACCAATATCAAGTGCTGATTTAGTTGATTTATTGTGGCAATGAAGGAAATCATTGTGAGGAAACCTGCATGTCTGAGAAATAAGATAAAATATTTCGAAGACACGTGAAGTTTGTCAACACGCATTGAGGCAGCGCAGCGGACATTTTCTTGCCCTTAAACCGACGAATATAGGCTGTAACTTTATAGAACTCAAAGTATACACACCTAATTTGCTTTAAACTTAGTAATGTATAAACATCACTTAGTACATCTTTCTTGTGGGTATATTACGAATGGGTCGGCTCGACCGGAGAAGGAGCACGCTCTCACAGAATACCAGCGTGAAATAGCAAGTTAATGCTACTGTGTTTCGTATGGTGAGAGTAGAGAACCGGAGCCCTTTTTACTGGAAACGAGGCTTTCCATTTTAGTCGTCAGGAGTCGTAATATCAATCGAGGATAGATGTAGCTGGATCAGGTAAAGTTGAAGCGTCAGTAGCCTAATGGCAGTAGCCTAATGGCCTTTCGAGTTCGCGGACCGCGGAACTCGAAAGGTCGTGGGTTCGAATCCGCCATTCGACTACTCTCGTGAAGCACTTCTAACACAAGCATTTTAAGCTTACCAGAAGTGGCTAAAGGGAATATTAGTAATGTTTAATAACACTACTAGTATTTAAAAAAAATCTGTGCTTGTTTAAAACCCAGATTTGAAGCTTTGAACTGAAAGGCAATGCAGTGTTCAAATTGTTAACGGTCATTTTATGTATTTCTTAAACGTTCTGGGACGGAGGGCTTTCTCAGTGTAAAGTTTTTTTTTTCTATAAAATTGACAATTGTACTTACCGTCCACGTGATGGGAAGTGGTTACTGCAGCCCATAAATACCTGCAAATACTTTAAACAAAGAAGGTTACGTATGCGTTGTCACCTTTGACCTCGGAGGTCCAAGATTTTAACAGTGGTAGAGCCACGCGGCAGCTTTTGCTGTCGCACGGGTGGGCCGGCTCGAACCGGGGTAGTACCACGACCTCACAGAAAACCAGCGTGAAGTAGAGGTTTACCTCTGCGTTTCGCTTGGTGAGTGCAGGTGGCCGGAGGCCCTTTTTACTGGAAATGAGGCATTCCGTCTTAGTCCTCACGGGTGACAACGCATCTACATTTTGATTTGTAACAGAGGATAGATGTAGATGTCTATGGGCCGCAGCAACCACTTACCATCAGGTGGACTGTGTGCTCGTTTGTCACCCTTATCCTATAAAAAAAAAAAGATGGAATGCCAGAAAACAACAGAGCAGCCACTACTATAGTCTGCGCGGAAGTGCTAGTCATCGCCTTAGGTATGTGAGCGGCAGGACGGGGGAGGTAGACAAACATCAAGCTGACGCAGTCTGCCGTCAACCGCCGCGACGGTTACACGATTCAGTTGTACGCGACAGTTTTCTCCAAAAATACATGAGATAAATATTCTAAGATGGGTCCGCCAATACCACGACAAGTGAAAAATATTATTTATAATGTACATAGTTTTTTTTTAAGACGAAAGGGCGACAAGGAAAGTATGGAACACAAATATGATATGAACATTAATAAATTAGTAGCAGAGGCTACAGGAGTGTCTGCCCGCACCGTAATGCGAATTGTAGCTGAAGGAAATTCGAGTCTACAAACATCGGAAATTGCAAAATTTTCATCTCCGCGGAAACCTAAAGAAATAAAAAAGAGAATCCACATTGATGATTTTGACATGGGAGTTATACGAAGAAAAATTCATCAATTTTATACTATTGATAAGAAAATCCCAAGTATTCGTAAGCTGCTTGCAGCTTTAAAAGAAGATGGCATTGTGAACTGCGGTTGTACCTATTTACGACAGCTTTTACATAAGATGGGATATTTATTTAAAAAATGTAAATCTAAGAGACACATTTTAATTGAGAGGCCCAGTATTGCTGAATGGAGAGTAAGGTATTTAAGAGCTATACGGAAACAGAAATGAAAACCGAAACATATATTATCTGGACGAAACCTACGTTAATAGTAGCCACACCTCCAATATGTGTTGGCAATCCGAATCTGAGCCTGGAATTTATGCTGATATTGGCAAAGGGCGTCGTTTGGTGATTGTTCATGGTGGTAGCCGAGACGGATTAGTTAACGGTGCCTTAACAATTTTCAAATCTGATTCGAAATGTGGGGATTACCATGGCGATATGAATGCCACAAATTTTCATAACTGGGTTAGTCACAAATTGAAAAATAAACTAGCTCCTAATTCAGTGGTCGTAATGGACAATGCCTCCTACCATTGTGTACAGGTAAAGAAAAAACCTACTATGTCAAGTTTAAAAAGGGACATGCAAGATTGGTTACGCGAACGTAATGTTGAATTTACACCAGATAATACAAAAGCCGAACTCTTTCATTTGATAAATAGAACTCAGTCCGAAAAGATTTACGTCATTGACGAAATATTAAAGGCTTCAGGTCATATCGTTCTTCGCCTTCCGCCATATCATCCTGATCTCAACCCCATTGAGCTTGTGTGGGCCGATATAAAGAACAATTTAGCTACAAATTATATAAATACTTCATTGGACGACAAAATTCCAATCATCACAAAATTGTTTTCTGAATTCACTCCAGGAAGATGGCAAAAGTGTGACGACCACGTACAGAAAATCGAGAACCAATATTGGGACCACGATATGAGGTTTGACAATGTAATAGACGAGTTGATCATAAACCTGGGAAACGATTCAGATTCTGAGGAGGATATGGAAATTGAAGACATGTATAGTAATGAAGAAGAAGATATGGATTAATTTTGTGCTATAACGGATTGTTTTTTTTTTATAGGATAAGGGTGACAAACGAGCACACAGTGCACCTGATGGTAAGTGCTTGCTGCGGCCCATAGACATCTACATCTATCCTCTATTACAAATCAAAATGTAGATGCGTTGTCACCCGTGATGACTAAGATGGATTGAGGTTTTAATAACCTCCTTATTTGTGATACAAACCCACAGGTCGAACATAGAATTCTCGCAGTATGGTAATTTAGGTTTAATTTGGGTGGTGAGTTTATAAAACTGTTTTGTATCATAAATAATAAAATGTAATTAACGCTTTTAAATACGTGTTAATTTTTGTTTAGCCCGGAAAATATAAATAATTTACCCATTATATTAATTAAGACAGTTTCTAACATGGTTATCCGGAGATTTATCTGTCCTCAAATATCTCGTGTGCGTCTTGTCAATCGCGTCCTCCCCCGTCTCGCCGCTTGCATACCTAAGGCGATGACTAGCACTTCCGCGCAGACTATAACAACTATTTAATGGCAGAAAAAAGTACCCAGATTACCTACCATAACAAATAAGTTCTACCATTTAGTAGTTTTCTGGCCGAGAGTTCCTTACCTGGTTTAAAGGGCCAGACGTCAAGGAGCAGACTAATCTTATCAAAACCTTTTACTAAAAAAAGTTTTTACATGGCAGAGTCAAACTGTTACATATATTATATATAACTACGATTACAGCGCAAATGGATTTTTTTTTTTATTTTCAAATAAATTGAAATTCTCACAGAATGTCAACACAATAGTAGATTTTTTTTAATTTATTAAATATGGGCGACAAGCGAGCACATATTCCTGATGATAAGTGGATGCATGAGCATCTTTATAGATATCTACATCTACCCTCGATAAAGAATCCAAATGTAGATGCACTGGGACCCCTGAGAACTAAGATAGAATGCCTCGTATCCAGTAAAACAGGTCTCCGGTTCTCTACCGACAGGAACTGGTTTATTTATCGTGAACAAAGAAAATTTTCAAAATATGTTTCCCACCCAGAATATATGTGTCAGGAATGATTACAAATCGAACAGATATCCTTTTAAAGAGACACTAGATAGATAGATATTTATTTATCTAGATATTTGCACGTTACTTTGTGTTTTGTGACACTTAATCTTAATCTTTCCTTCGAATTTACAAATATATTTAAGAAAACCTCAAAGATTTTATTTCTTTTTCAGAAAAATGGCGCTATCCCGGCAACACAAGTTCATCACGACTGTTTTCTTTCTAACATTACATATGACGTCATCAGCTAAAACGAACTCCAGGCCTGTATATGAAGTAATAAATGAACAATCAAGAGCTGATGACAAGTTAATTACAACCAGTGATTCCGCGAGGCTGCCCTATGGTAATCCACTTGCCGGTAACTCACAAAAAAATGCTAGATTGCATGCACACAATCAACAGGCGATGTTCAATGCTGAAAGAATACGTCAGCATAAAGCTCAGTCGCAGAGATGGATGAAAACACCTAAAATAATCGACAGCTATATGCGAGCTTATCACGAGTCCCAAGAGAGCCATCAACTAGCATTAGAACAGCAACAAGCCAATGTAAAAGAAAACCAACGAAAGCCAGCACAACATACGAGAGAATTTATAAAAAGAACACAAAAATCTGAGACTGATACTACGAAGTTGTCCAAAGCAGATACTGTTGTGAAACCAGAAAAGATGAGAAATCAAAGGTCATATAGTTCTGTTGAATATCAACAGTACTTGGAGCCAAATAAATATCAAACTATTTATATTACATCTCCATCATCTTATGTTCAAGGAATGACTATAAAACCAAACGCGATAAATGCAATAGTCCATTCCCAACAATCTTCTAAGCTTTATGGCGAAGCCATAAGTTCAGAGAACGTTTTCCCGAAATACTATCCTACAAATGATTACAAATCTGTACAAGATTTAGAAACGTTAAATTCTCTTCTGAGTAAAAACCCCGGAGAACAGCTTTCAGAGTTTAACGCATTAATAAAAGCTACTAAAGACAACACTGGGACCCATGACAGAGAACTAGAGATGCCCATTGATCTTTATTTCTATTTAAAAGATCCTTCACACAAAGCTTTATCAGATCATTACGATAAAACAGCATATGCACAAATACCGAGCACACAAGAAACTGTAAAGGACCATATACCAATTACAGAAGAAGTAGACGATGTCGAGAATCCCGAAGAAATGACAAAATCCAAAGTCGAGTCGATTTCGACACAAACGCCACAGTTACATTTGTCAACAACAAAAGATATCCAATACATAAATTCAGAACTTACAAATCAAATTTTAAGCGCTGGATATAATCCATTGCAAGAAGAACAATACGATATAAAGGAACATGAAAGAAAACCAAATTACGAAGCATTACGATATGGATATCAGCCAACAGCATACTACAGTGCTGATGAAGACAATACGGAAGGAGATCTGAGTGAGAGATATCTTCATCATAACGCTAAGAAAGGTGTGCAGCATTTAACTAACGATGGTTCAGGAGTATCAGCATATAATGATGAAAATGTAAGTATTAAAATAGATTCACCTATTCACAAAAATATTTCCAGTTTGGTTCACTATTTATCAAGAGAAAGAAGATCTGTATTAGAAACCGAACATTTCCTTTTATCAAATACAAGTCGTACCCTCAAGGAAACGGTTAAGAATTCTGAATACAAAAATGGTACCGAAAAACCTACAGCAGAATCTCTTATTAGATTAAAACCAATACCTAATAGCAACCGTGTAACTAAATTCGGTACTTTCTTAACCACACCAAACTTTCCAATCGGTGAGGCAATAGATGAAGAAGTTTTGCCAATATATAAAATACCTAAAAGTAAATATGGTACGCATGAAATTGTTTACGATGAACTAGAAAGTGATAACTATGATGACTTTTCGTCCCTTGAGTATGACTACGCAGACCCTGCGTCCAAACTATCATCTATAATTTCAACTCCCCATCACAATAACTTTGCTGAGTCATTAGAAACGTACGCACCCTCAGTATCTTACGCTCAAAACGTAGAGTTCAAAACTGATTTCACAAAATACAAACAAATAAAACGGTTCCCAAGTTTATCTTCAAATATCGGAACACTTCATAGTTCAAATGGTTTTACAATACCATCAACATCTTACGGAGTACCAAATTACGGCGAATCAGCCTTGTACAATACACCACACAGTTTTAGAGCCCCAGTTAAATATGGTACCCCAAATATTAATGTAGGTTTACAAGACCCCGAGCCAATTTACTTGCTTACACAAAAAGAATTGGCGAAACTTGTTGGTCATCACAATTTAAATATAGAGCATTTAGAAGTATATCAATTACCAAGGGCTAAACGACCAAGTCATTTCCCTAGAAAGTATAAAAAGGGGTCACCATATAGAAACCGAAATTTCAGGAAAAACATTCTGAAACTGCAGAAGTTAAATATTATTTAATTTAGCTAATAATATTATAATTTATGTTTTACTAGCCGCTTTTATCACAAACTGATGGCTCGGTAGGCTAAGCGATTGGTTGCGGAACAGAGAACTCGTATTCCATTCTTGGGTCTGTTGTTCTTATGCAATTCATGTATGTAAACGTGTCTACGATACACGAGAAATTATCAACATTAGGAAAACTAAAAAAAAACACTTAGAAGTTTTGGAATTTTCATTAATGGTTCTGGATTTTAATCCCAAACAAAGTCAGCATTTTCCAAGCACAAATTTTATTAATTCTACAGATAAACTATCGAAAAATTGTTACCACCAAATTACTTAATGTTATTATTTGCATAGTAAACTTTATTTAACTTAGCATAAGTTATTTATGATTAGTAATAAGATTTTAATTTAATTAATATAACATATCAAACTATCATGTAAACCATTTACAACAATAAAAATCTAAAAACTAAAATCATGGATATATATGTACTACGCACTAGATTTCGCATTCCGAACATTGACTATGTTCAACTGAAAACTGTACTGCCGTATAATAAACTAAATATTGCGTAAATTGAAGATTTGTGAATTCCATAAGATAATTATTATTACATTTTATTTTGAAATATGTTTGTTAAGATTAAAATAAGAGTATTTTATATGAAATTCTTATATTTATTTTATAATAATATCATACGCGACTCTACTATCCCTCGCGCATGCGCGAAGACATAGAGTAGCGCACAATTTTTGTTTGGAATAGCTTCTCGTGTACGTAGTACATATAACTCAATAACTAAAATTATCTAACAGCCCTTTTCCTCTAACAATATTATATTAAACAGTTAGATTAGGTGATAGGACTCTTTCTCTTACTCTAAGTTGGTCTGGGTAGGTACGACCCTCTTACCTATTCCTGCCACCAATAACAGTGCCTCCAAAATAATGCTTTCTTTGTGTGGCTAAGTCTGAAGAGAGTCGGAATAATTGTGGATGTATCCCATCTTAGTCTTAAGGGCTAACAAAGAAACTACCTTCTTTGTTTGAATTTGGTTGGGGTTATACGTGGCATTTATTTATCATTTTTTAAAGGATAAAGGTGACAAATGAGCAAACAGTCCACCAGGCCAGTTATGGTAAGTGGATGCTGTGACCCATACACATTCATCTATCCTCAATTAAGAATCAAAATGCAGATGCGTTGTCACCCCTGAGGACTAATATGAAATGCCTCGTTTTCTGTAAAAAGGTTCTTCGGTTCTCTACTCACCATACGAAACACAGATGCATTAAGCTACTACTTCACGCTAGTATTATGTGAGAGGGTGGTCCTACCCTGGTAGAGCCGACCCATTCGTGCTACAACTATACTAGTAATGTAGCTGTAGCATGGCTGGAATTAATAATATTAATGGATTATGTGTAATAGATATGTGTTATAATTATTGTAAAATTAGAAAGCCTTTTTTAAATAAAATAAGATTATAAAAAAATCATTATTAAAAAAATCAACTATAATATAGCTGCAGCGTGTAGAGCCACTACCACGTGAAAAATTACTTCATATTTATCGTCAGTTGAACTGCTAGCCCGTTTGCCATTCATAATATGTAAAAAATAATAAGGACTTATGGCCATGATGCCTTTGCCAACCCTCTTTTTTTCTGTAACTATAAAATGATATGTTCCTTTTAATAACTACTATGTATCTCTAATACTTTATCCAAGATGTACTACGAATGTGAGGTTGATTGTTTGAAGGGGCCCAAATTACTCTTAAATACACCTATAAAATCAAGTTTTCGTAAATCCATTCATTATTTCATTACAGCCTATCCAAAGTAATAATCTTATAAAACATAAACTCGCTTAGAATATTGTTTGTCGCTCAAAATGAAAATAAAATTAAAAATTACATGACCTCTGACTTTTATTAGACCCCAAGATCTCCCTCCAACGGCCCTCCCGTTGCACTGCCTTCCCATGCAGTGCATTTTTAAGGGCTAATACATATATTAAAGCATTATCCAAAAAATGCGATTAAATCAGCGGCCAGGTACATGTAACTAAAAGTAGAAAAATTAAAAATAAAACCACTGACGCATTGTGTTGTGTATTAATATAATACTCTAGACAATGATAAACTATTATTTAAAACTAATTTCTTAATTAACTGACATTGTGTAACAAAAAACTTTAACTCAGTCACAACTAGCGACATCTGGTGAGTGGAAAATTATTAGCCCTCATTAACAAAGGTAACAAGGTAGCAAGGATGAAGAGGTGATCCATAATACACGCGTGTGCCTAGTACAGACGCCTGACTATCTACATCCATTACATCGTATAAGATTTTGCCATAGTTGCCACGCTTGGCGAGCGGGTTGTCAACCGCAGTTTACTTATTATTTGGAGATGTTATCAGAAAGATGCTGCTGACCATCATCTGTTTCAGTTTCCCGCTGTCGCCTTTTACGTCACCACGGGACGATATAGGGCAGTGAATAATCTTACACCGCCACGACACGGCACTCTATGACAATACATAAAATACAATAAAACTTAATAGAATCAGGCGTTACTTTGCGGAAATCCATTATATAAAAGCTTTTACAAAAATTTACTTCGCAAATTTCCGCTGTTAGTGGGACAAAACAAACCTCTGGGATTAGTTCTTTCGATTTTATCGTCATAATTACCTCTATAATTGAGACAGCGAGTATATTTTACCTCTTTTACTGAAACTATATTTTGTGTACCGTTTTGTTTACTAATTCTTATTCTAAGCGGAAATTCCGCACTTGGCTCATTGTGTAAATGTGACCTCCAGTTTTAGTTTGGTTTTGCTAAAGTCCCGATATTTATTTGAAAATGCTGAAACGAAAGCACCTCTATAACTGAAATAACCTCTATTCTCACCTCTATTAATGGAACCCTCTGTAAATGAGACAGATATCTATTTATACCTGGATATCTGAGACACCGGGTTAGTGGAATACCTCTTTAAGGGAGCCAAATTTGCAGGTCCCTTAAAGTCCCAGTTATCCAGGTTTCACTGTATTATTATCTGTTATGGCAACTTATGTACCCTCTGTATGACTACAAGAATAAACATGCTGACGGGCCTAAGCAAAGTGGACATCTTACTTACAACTGTAAAAAAACATCCGACAATTCACAAGTTCGACAGTTTTTAAAATGCCTTTTGTAAATTAGCAAAAATTCGTTTAGATAGATCGAGTGATCTGTGATAGTATTATTATTGCATTATTATCTCATTCGACTGCCTTGGTGGCCGAGCGTCTAGCGATCGTAAATGCTACTACTGATCGTAAAGTCCCGTGTTCAAATCCCAGTGTTAAAACATTGTTATTGAGAGTTAAAAAAACATTGTTATTGAGTTTTTCTGACAAAAAATTCTCAGTAGGAACCCAGAGTCAAGCAGTTGGCGGTGTTTCTTCCCCGAATCTCAGAAAGCACGTGAAGCCGGTCATCCTGCGCCTAATCTCTCTACGGTCTTGTCGGATTGCCGTCCAAACGAACTATCAGAGCGAGGGAATAGAGAGTGTACCTGTGCTTGTTCATAGCTCTCAGGCACTATAATCCTGTCCTGCGCCGATGGCTAGTCTCCGTTAAGACTGGCCGCAGTGACCAAAATTCGATCTGTATGACATTATTACTATTTCTGATTTGAATACCCTGTCAATTTTCACATCTAACATATCCAATAATCTAGATGAAAATATAATTTTAATTTAACTTTTTTTTTTCACAGCTTCACTACGCCGCGAACTACGAATTTGGCTACAGGGTTCGAGACCTCCACAGCGGCAACGACTTTGGTCATCACGAAGCGAAGAATGGAAAAGGAACGAGCGGACACTACCATGTCCTCCTCCCAGATGGACGGATGCAGAATGTGCGATACTCTGCCGGCCCTGAAGGTTATCACGCGGACATTTCGTATGATCACTATAAATAGTAAAACAAACTAGGTTTATAGTGCAGTGTATTACTTACTATGTGTTTTCACTATTATCAGAACATAGACTTAAAACTGTGAAAGCAACATATTTAATAGGCAACACTGTTTGCCTTAGTATAAGAGCGACATCTGTCTTCTTTTATTTATTTAAACAACATACTGCTGGCCCAGTTTATAGTGATATACAATTTTTATTAATATGTGACAAATATTGTCTCACTTACGGTTATTACTTATTACAGTCACCGTCTAAAACGGCAATTGTAGGAAGGCTGCTCAAGGTAGCGTGTGTTTGTCATGTAACTTTTTATATTAACGTTTCCTAGTTCTGTGTATACTTCTGTATTTCATTTAACAGCCACTATAAACCTAAGTCTGAATGGATAACGTTTTTCGGTGCGTGCAACGTGGCTTTATGATATGCACACGCTATTCTATTGCAGTGGACCTGATCACTCACTAATGCACCACGAAGTCACACGCCTTGCCGAAAGCTCTGAAGGCCTAGTGTAGAAACCTCAGTGAATAACGCGCATCAGAGCGGGGCGTTTGGCGTACAAAATAAAGCGCAAAAAACACAGCGCAGATCATTCAGACATTAGACTTAGGTACACTCGTGCATTATATTATGCGATAATATATTTAGTACTTAGATATTATAGTTAAATCATATATTGTTGATTAATAATTGCGTCTAACTAGAGATTAAAGAGCTATACAAGCAGAAATTAAAGACAAAACAGTGAAAGACGTTTATTTATGAATTGAGAAAAATGGCTATTATAACGAAAGGAATTAATTTTAATATTAACTAAACTTAACGTACGTTAAATATTGTAAACATATTTCGGGTCTCTTAAATATCTAACAATAACTTAAACATGAAATTATAAGGTATTTATTCGCTATCACACCAAAATAATATAATATATCGAAAAATATTATGACAAACACAAAGCCTAATATTTTCTTTTGTTGCTTTGTAATGCCACGCAATTCAACGTCAAAATGGCCTCCATGGATTTAACCGCGAAAATATATACACGTCTAACGCTTCCCGCCTGATTTCGTTGAGAAAAGAGAAAATAACGAGAAAGTGTCTTTTTATGAGCGTGCTATATTTAGATAAGTCTTTATTTTCTCTTGTTACATGTCAATTACGTGAACTGTTGCGTAAATGTGAATAATCACTTCGTAAGTACGTGATTACTCGTGACATAAAAGTAGGGTTGCCATATTTAGCTAGGGTTTCGTCAATGTGAAGGTTGTTAATTCGACTACATCTTTTTAATGTATGTAATACGATAGCCTAGTTCGTTAATTTGGCTGATTGTTTACCGTTAGAATATACTTCATACCAGAGGAGATAAATATCAACCAGACCCGATGATATTTGAAATTTTTTATATTATTTAAGGAAACAAACTGATGGCTGATCCTCGACTAACAATCAAAATACAGATGCTTTATCATTCCTGAGAATTAAGATGGAATGCCTTGTTACCAGTAAAAAGGGTATCAGGTTCTCGTCGCAAAACAAAACACAACAGTACTATACTACTATTTCATGTTGGTATTCTTTGCGAGCGTAGTCTTTCCCTATCGAGTCGAGTCGAATGCTATGAGTTATAAGGATATATTAGAAAATAATATATAAATACTAGCTGTTCCCTGCTGACTTCGCCCGCGTGTAATTTTGGGTTTTAATTTTTTTTTTGCGAGGAACCCTAATTATTTTTCTAAAATAAAAGTAGCCTAAGTTACTCTTTATGACATCAGCTATCTGCCAGTGAAAGTCCCGTCATAATCGGTCCAGCCGTTTCGGAGATTAGCCGGAACAAACAGACAGACAGACAAAAATTTTAAAAAGTGTATTTTTGTTATAAGTACCGTTTATACTTTCACATGCATTTAGTAAAACGTTGTAATTTTGACATTACAAACAGACACTTCAATTTTATTTATTTGTATAGATTAGAGAATTTCCAAAAACACTCAATGCTAAAATAAAATTGTAGACATAATAACTCTGCGTAATTTTTATTCATGTCAAATATAAAAGTCGGGACATCGGGATACAAGCAAAAATAACGTTTGACTGTCCCGCTAAATCGGTCCGGATGGCAACCCTACATATGAGTCAATTGAATCACTGTGCAATTAAAGGCTATTGTTTGTTTCGTTTATGAAATGCTACGGTGTAGCCATGGCCAGTGATCGACACAGTTGGTCATAAATGTCAACTTATTAACAAGGAAGTTTTTACAATATACATTACTACAACAAATGATAAGTACACTGCAGAACATAGGTCTCCCAATTATATTGCCACTAAGTACGGTCCTGAGCCACCTGTATCCATCGATTCAAGATAATAAATGCATCACGTTCTCATAAATGACTCAATATATAGAAGCGCTTGCCGCCATGTGATGACGGAACAGAATGTATGACACGTCACAATGGTATCGTAAGAGGCGACAATGGAAAACGACGACGGAATCGAAATCGGCGTAAAATCATAGTATAGTCTTTAAAATTTAGCGGCATTACCATCTTGCTTACCGTTACAGCCTATTAAAGTCCACCGTTGAACAAAGGCCTTTTTTTTAAATGTTTATTATACAAAAATACATTCGGTTATTTCTTACACTACTTTCGCCATAATGCAGGGCAATTTGTTGGAGAATACATCACCCACTTATAGAATGTACACTTTTTGGGCCTTTGTTCAGCAATGAACTTTAATAGGCCCCATAGGATTGCCTCATCGAGCGGATATTTGCCATAGTTACTTGGCAAACGGGATCGCAACCACAGTTTTTTATTTTTATTTTTAGTCGTTATTAGGCAGATGCTGAGACGACTCCTTTTCTACAGACTTTAAAAAGGAGGAGGTACTCAATTCGACTGCATGTTTTTTTTATATGTGTGTTACCTGTTACCTCATAACATTTTTCTGGGTGCACCGATTTCGATGATTCTTTTTTTATTTGAAAGCCGGTGTTTCTCATGTGGTCCCGTATAAATTAGATCAAGGTTTGACCAATAGTTTTAAAGTTATTGTTAATAATTTATATTGAAGTCAGTTGTTCAAAATTTTTAATTTTTAATTATCTAACTACAAGTCTGTTTGGATTGGTACTACCCACATTCCTATTTCTGCCGACAGATGGCAGTGCTTGTACTACTGTGTACTCTAAAGGATTTAGAGAACCAGTATATTTTTATAGGCTACGAGACATTCCATTTTAGTCCTCAGGGGTGACAAAGCATCTGCATTTTATAAATGTAGATGTCTATGAGCCATAGTAAATACTACCATCAGGTGAACGTGCACTCGTTTGTCACCCCCCATTCTGTATAAAAAAGGCTGTGCCTTAAAGGCGCATCTGTAGCCGTCTTTGAATGAAAGAGATTGCATTGCAGTTGGACAAGAGCTGAAGTAACCAGTGGTCTCAGGTTCTTGTCACTTATTACACGAAACACAGTAGCATTGTACTGCTATTTCAAGCTGGTATTATGTGCGTGGTCCTTCCACGATGGAGCAGACCCACTGGTGCTGCAGCCCTAATACGCCACATAATATGTTACTAGTTGTGACTAGTCAACTTAAAGTTTTATTTTTTTGAATAAATATAAATGAATTTAAAAATTATTTTAAGGTATTTAAGCAATTAAAAATATAAACACTTTTTGGGCACGTGCAATCACTTAAAATTGGCTAGTGAAGAGTGAAGATTGAAATAAACATATATTATATTAACGGCACTCAATATGTTTTTATTTCTTTATTTAAAGTTTATGTTTAAATTCCCATTATCAGTACATATACTCAAAAGTATACACACTACGTTTTAGATAAACTGTAAGTCCTGACAAGTACTTAAGAATTTCATAAAGTAATTGGTTATAATAATTTTATATAAGTTACTTCAAGAAAAATGCTGTTTTCAGTAGCTTTATTGACCCATTCCTCGTTTTTTCAATAACATTAAATATAAGTAAACATACGAAGCTATTTAGTAGATCTTAGAAAAAACAACTGTAAATATTACATATATATCAGATTTATTTTAACAATTCTTGTATAACGTAACTTATTAACATATGTAAGTACCAACCTAAAAAATAATTAATTGTTGTCGTTTTTGTAACAATAAAATTTTATATTTAATCATGATTTTTTTTTTACTTTTCTAAAACAGCTCTTAACTACTATCTCAACCCACCTGATGGTAAGTGCTGATGCAGCTGAAGATGGAAAAGCGCACTGACTTAACAAAAGCCTTGAAAGACAAGATGCTGGCAACTTATTCCACTCCTTTGCTGTACGCATGACGAACGATGTAGCAAACTGGAGTCGAATGCGAGATCAACAACGCAAGGGGACACTTGCCAAACGTTTGGTTGTCTGCGGGTAGGGCGGGAAGGGCGAGGGAGAAATTAAGTTATGCATTTTATTTATTTATTTATCCTGGTTATAATAATAATGATGTTTACTTTGCTTGCTTTCACAAGTTTACATTGCCTTTTAATAATATTGGAGGTATAACCATTTTAATTTCTGAGAGCCCGGTGTTAGTACTAGGAAAGACCTGTATGACTAATCACCAGACTCTCGTCCCTTAATGTAACATTTATCAACATACCCTTAACTTGAGTACACTTCGTGCGACAATATGATTTATAATTGCAGTTTCTGTAATTAAAGTTACAATAAAAGAGAAAGAATAATAAAAAAAAAACACAAAAAAACACAATTTTAAAAACTAAAATCTAACTTACACGTGAGCGCTGTGTGCGTGCGTGCGTGCGTGCATGCGTGCGTGCGTTCGTGCAAATAATATTTTAAATATAATGTAACGATGTCTGAGTTTTCTTTAGTGCACTCAACGTTTGCCGTAAGACGACGTAAGAATTTCCATTAATCCATATCAGTCTTCAGGAAATGCCAGAAAGAATTTATTGACCTTTAATGGATGGTGGTATGATAA